ATTTTAATCTAAAACCATTAATGCATGTCGTCTGTGATTAATAATTTGGACAGATGTTTTTAAAAATGGAAATCTGCATGTATCATAAATATATCTGAAAGTTATCAGCAAAATCAAAATGAATTCAAAGGGACATGAATGGGGATTCACACGGAGCCTTGAGGTACCCCATAACTAAGTGGGAAGAAGAATACTTCTCTGAAGGAACAACTGAAACTATTTAAAGGCTGCACTTTTAAAGCTAATTACACAGGAACACAGGCAGAGAGAACACTGTCATTTATTGTGTTAAAGGCTGCAGTCAGGTCTACAGTACCAGGATGGCAGAATCACCGGAGTCCACAGTTAATGCAAGTCATTTTACACATTTCAGCAGCTGTTTTGTTTCTGATGAAACCACATTATAGCAATTAATTTGCAGGATCAATCATCTACAAAAATATCTTCATTACAAACAAGCAAATCTATAAGAAAACCCAGAGAAGGCTGGAGAGGGCACAATGAAGCAAAGAACAAATATGCTTCAACTTTATGCTTTTGTTCCACTAAAAGGTTAATGGTTTGAGTCTTATTTAACTGATAGATTTCAGTTTGTCAATGTTAATAATGAATCTACTGCTTACACCAGATTTAGTCATGGTGTTCCTCAGGGTTCAGTACTTGGACCAATCCTCTTTACTTTATATATGCTTCCATTAGGTAAAGTTATTAAAAAGCATGATTTCCATTGTTATGCTGATGATACTCAGTTATATTTATCCATGAAACCTAATGAATCCAACCAGTTGCTTAAACTACAACCATGTCTTAACGACATAAAAACTTGGATGACTCTTAATTTTCTGCTTCTAAACTCAGATAAGACAGAGGTTATGGTTTTTGGACCTGAACATCTTAGGGATCAACTTTGCAGCCTTTCACCTTCTCTGGATGGCATTAATCTGGCCTCCAGTTCTAATGTAAAGAACCTTGGTGTTATTTTTGATCATATGTCTTTTAACCCCCACATTAAAAATATTACCAGGACCGCCTTCTTCCACCTGCGTAATATCACTAAAATTAGAAACATTTAGTCCAAAAACGATGCAGAAAAGCTGATTCATGCATTTATCACATCTAGACTGGACTACTGTAATTCTTTATTATCTGGACATCCAAAAAACTCTTTAAGAAGTCTTCAGTTAATCCAAAATGCTGCTGCTAGAGTTTTAATGAGAGTTGGAAGGAGAGACCATATTTCTCCAGTTTTAGCTTCTCACCACTGGCTCCCTGTCAAATTCAGAATAGAATTTAAATTTTTACTCCTAACATATAAAGCTCTCAACAACCAAGCTCCATCATATATTAAACATCTTATTGTTCCATACTTTCCTAACAGAGCACTTCACTCTCAGACTGCAGGTTTACTTGTGGTTCTTCGAGTTTCTAAAAGTAGAATGGGAGGCAGAGCTTTCAGTTATCGAGCTCCTCTCTTGTGGAATCAACTTCCAGTTTCTGTCCGTGAAGCTGACACTCTGTCTACTTTTAAGATTAGACTGAAGACTTTCCTTTTTGATAAATCTTATAGTTAGATTTAGGTTTCCTGAATTATTCTTCATTTCTGCTGCTATAGACTTAGACTGCTGGAGCACAAACTGAGCACATTTCCTCACTCTGCTGTTGTCTTTAGTCTCTATTCTCTACATGTTTATTGTAATTATTTCTATCAATAACATGTTTTTTTCTTTTGGTATCTTTTCCAGAAGTAGGTGCTCCTGGACCAGTTCTTCTGTGTTCACCTGTGTCTCTTTCCTGTCCCTCAACCCAGCCGGTCGAGGCAGACGGCCGCCTGCCCTGAGCCTGGTTCTGCTGGAGGTTTCTTCCTGATTAGCAGGGAGTTTTTCCTCTCCACCGTTTGCTCAGGATGGGAGACTGTGATGAAATGATTCAAYRCAGCCTGCTGGCTTCTTCTTTAGATTGTTCTTTTTCTCATGTACAGTCCCTTGAGACAATGTATGTTGTGACTTGGCGCTATATAAATAAACTGAATTGAATTGAATTGAACTGAATTAAATTGAAACAAACCCAGAACTATTTCAGTTTGAGTAACCACATTTTTTTAGTTCCTAGACATGTTTGTGTGACTCGCTGGGTTTAACTAACTCAGGGTGAGTGGATGAAGGACTCTGTGAAGAGTTTKTGAAACTTGTTGATCTGGTGAGCTCAGTCAGGGAGCCTGCGGTGAGCCAGACCCCGCAGACCGGCAACCGCATTCATGTTCGACTCAAATGTCAGTAGAGATGAGGCTCAAACATCCAGGCTGCTCTAATATTAACAATGGGCTCAATTATAGCAGCATGCCAGCTAATATAAAGGTAAAAGAAAGCGAGTTAAGCCCACACACTTAGTACCTTTTACTGATGGCAATTTATTCAAAAGACTATAAAAGTTTATTAGTCAGAGCTCCAGCAGGGCTGGTTTCTCTCTGCTCCAGATTTAAGAAAAACTTCTCATGCACTCACCGAACCTCTTGTATCCAAAAGATTGTACTTCCTCCTCGTCTCCAAAGTCGTCTGTGGGACAAAACCAGAAGCATAAATGGTTAAAAAACATCTCCTGTCTTTGTGTGTTTGTATGTGTGGAGATCGGTGGTCCCAGGAATGCAACGAGCTGCGGTTTCTCTGGTTTGTTTACAGTAAACCTTAATTACACTCTGCTGCCATACACTACAATGAAAAGTGGAGCAAAAAAAAGAAAACATGGAGCAACATCACTGGTAATGGTAGACAGATGGAGCTGAGGGGAGGAAGACATGGGAGATGGAGAGGGATGAGTGTGTGTTTATTGTTGGGAGGTCAGAGGAGGTTAGATTAGAAGGAGACATGAATGCAGAGAGGATCCCACATTCCTGAGTGTTACTTMAAATCAAGCATTCTTCTGAAAACAACCGGAGAATGTTCCCTTAAAGGGGCTGCTTGGAGTTAAAACACWAATACAGCAAACTTTTTGTTTGCATCCTTTCTCAGACTTTTATAAATTTATGATAAGATCATATTCAGTTTAGATTTCTCAAATTGTTTATTCTTTTATGAGTCATCTAAATYGAAGGCTTTTAATGACTTTCCACACAATTTTGTTATTTCAGATTTATGTTACTGTCACTAATAGTGCAATATTASCTTGACATTTTTACAAATGTTGGTTTTCAACTTACATGAGTTGGTTGAACTACTTTTAAATAACTTGAATTACTTGAACAAACTGTATCGTTTGCCAGGTTTAATGGTAAAAGTTGCATCACTGATCGGTTTTTATTCTTTCAGCCAGACTAACACAAAAAGCAAATAACTTGTTAAAAAAAGTTTCTAACAACTCTAACAATACTTGTTTTAAAGCAACAGTTCCGATTTTTYGTGGTGTTTTGTGGAAAGGTTATGAACAAATAGTATCTTACCTGTTGTTGATAGCTCTTTGAAGCTAGGTTCAAATAGAACAGTTGAACTCATCAGATAAACAAGCTAATGGTTATTCAGAGCAGGATCTAATGATAAAATTTCCAAACTGAGGTCATTCAAAGCGCTATCTACAACAGGTAAGATATTAATTGTTCACAATTTTCCACAGAACTCCACTTTGAGAGGTCTGAAGTATTACTATGAGAAACATCATCCCCCCAAATATTACTTTACAAACACATTAAAATGAACCAAACTAAACTGGAACAAGAATAAACATATAGTTGAACCAGCCATAAAAGAGAAATTTGATCAAAACGTGACCAAATATTATAAAACACAACATTGTAACTGTTTGGTGATAAATTTGTATATAATTTTCCTCTCATTTTTTTAAGACCTTGTGTTTTTGAGTCTACATGATTTGTTTTTTAACTGGGGTGCAGCTGATGGGTAACAAAGCTCTCACTCATTCTGCAGAACCGAACTGTCATCCAAAGCAGACTCAGCACAAAATTAATCCCAGCATTGAGCAAAGTTAATTTTATTTAAAGCACAAATCCACATGTAGTCTAACAAAAMGCATATAGTTCGTACCTTTCATGGCGTTTTATAACTTGTTGACTGTAGAAGCGATGAGGATCCCGGTCACTTTCTGCGCATCTCCGCAGCATCCAGAGCAAAGTTGTTCCCGTTTCCCTCTGAGTCAAGTCCTTGTTTTAGTTTCAGCTCCTGTGACTCATGTGTTCATGTCTCTGCACTCATGGTCTCTGATCTCCTGCAGATCTGAGGAGGGGTTTCGTTTCTGTGGTGGTCCTGGAGTCTTGCCTCGCAGCCGAGTGTTGCCACCACAATAAAGTTACCTCAAACCAGATCTTACCCTTCCTGTGGGACTTTTCAAAATAAAACCGTGTGTTTTATTTTGGAAAGATATTTTGTGCCAATTGGCCCGTCCGGTGACATAGGATTAAAAGAAATATCTCGTGGCCACGAGATAAATAATGCATGGCCACAAGATAATTATGTTGTGACCATGAGGTAAGAAACTGTCCAGTGTTAACTAGGACAAGTTTGAATTTTATTTTATTATAGGAATGAATGGCATTTGCTACTTCAGTCGCTTGCAGTCAGGCATGAAGTAATTCTTAGCATTTTATGTTTTGTTAAATAAAGACTTTTTAAAATCAATTTTAAGTTTACAACTACAATTTTTTTTTATTTCAACAAAATTAATTGTAACGAAGCCTGAAAGGTTGAACCCCAGGTGCAAACCTGAATGACTGATGGTCTAGAGCAGTGGTTCCCAAACTTTATTTTCTTCTGACCCACAAAATATCCATGGCAAAAACTTGTGACTCCAAATATTACTGGTCTGAGTACACAGACTTTGTTAATAACCCTAAAAACACAGGCCTTTTGACAATCTAAACAGCTTGTACACAAATATAAATACTTGTTTATACTTTTTTTGTGTTTTTGTAATAGTTATAGGGAAAATATTACATCAATAATTATTTTATTACCCTTTAAATTGATTTCTGGAGATTATCCAAGGTGCTTCATGACCCATAATTGGGTCCCAAGCCCAACTTTGGGAACCAAAGTGCAGTGGTTCCCAAACTCTTCAGCTTTTGACCCACAAAATAACAGTAGCAGAGACCTGTGCCCCCAGCTATTTTTGGATGATAAACATTTGTATCAGGTCAACATAACATGGGCATAGTAAAAATATTTTTATACTACATTTATCCATTTTAAATACACTAACCTCACTCCTTTGTAACAACTAAGGMAAAAATGTAATTAATTCAGAAAATCTTTTCAGGACCCCACCTTGATGTTTCGGGACCCCACTTTGGGTCCCGACCCCAACTTTGGGAAACACTGGTCTAGAGATTTTGCAAAAAAAGTCTTTATTTAACAAAAACAAAACACTGACGTGGTAATAAAATAACAGAAACAAGCTTTGGTACGAGAACCCAGAAAGAAACGACCATACATTAAAAAAATAACAATAATCACTACATAAGTATATGGTTAAAAAATATCACACAATTTAAAAAGCACTGACAACAGGCTGAAGACAGAGAAGAATAATATTAAGGGGAATTTAATGAGCTACAACAAGAAACACCTGGGMGMKAGAAYCATGAGGARCAGGTGAGAGTGGGCGGGGCTGCTGGAGCAGAGACAGACAGGAGGAGGTGAACAGAAGAGTACAGAGTAACCAAAATACACTCAGTCTGTGACAATTGTAGTCATTTTATAACCAAATATGTTTGTTTTCTTTCAACATCAGCTTTTTCTTAGTATAATAGAACATAACTTCAAAATAAATAAAAATGTCATCAATAAAAATCACTCATGCTCACACATGGACATGATTCAATTCAATTCAATTCAAATTTAAAAAAAAACTTTATTGATCCCAGAGGGAAATTAGGTCTTGTAACTCATTTAACTAAAGACTTATTGATGGTGATGGCTGTGGGCAGGAAAAATCTTCTGTAGAGGTCTGTATTACAACAAAATTAAAGAAGCCTGATGATGATGATGATGATGATGATGATGATGATGATGAAGGCCTGATGATGAAGGCCACCAGATACAGAGGATGCCTCAGATACAATAAACAACATTACAACAGCTGATGGAGTCTGACGGGTGCTGGGTTGTGAAGGTCTCAGTTGCCCAATTCAACATTCCTGCCAAAATCAGAAAGTTCTTTGAAATTCAAGCAGCTTTTATTTATTTCTGTTTCTTCCTGGTTTTCGGTAGAACTTGATACTGTAACTAAATGTGTCTGGATGCTTTGAAGTCAGCGGTGGCTGCCCCGTCTCCTCCTGTTGGCAAAGAGGAGGTGTGGGTAGCTTTCAGCACCACAGAACCCGGGATGTCTCGCAGCTATGAGGAATAATCCAGCCGGAGATGAGATTAAGTTACTGGAGCTTGATAGCCATCGCTTGAAAATCTGGTTCTCATTATGAAAAATTTCAAGATGTTTGGAGAGAAAAAAGTCACCAGAATTCTGATGTTTTATATTTCTTGTTTTGACATAAATGTGGCTTTGTTGGGCTATTAGAAACACAAAAGTAAAACACAGAGAAAAAGGACAAAAATCACTCACCTACGTATTTGACCCTGTAACTCATTGTGTTTTATGTTTTGGGTTGTTTTGATCCTAAACCAGCAATAAATCAGAATGCAACTACTTTAATGAAAACAGACAYACACAAAAATAACACACACAAAAAATAAATATTAATTTCAAGACACACTGCAGTCAGGTTGATGTCATGTTTTTTTTAAGAAAATAAAGGTTATTGCATAGTTTTGCTGTGACATCTGATGTTTCTCAGAGCCTCATTATTCTTTAACCACAGCTCGTTTTTGGTGTTTGAAGTTCGCCAGCATCCATTTTGTTCCCTCTAACTCTTCCAGGAGCTGCGATAACTGCAGCACTTCCTGTTTCTACTATCTCTCCTGCCTGCAGAAGCAGATCAGTTTTCAAAGCCTGAAAACCCAGCTGCATCCTCTCAGAGAGAACGACTTTGACTAACTGTGTTTTCAGTTCAGCGGGTTACGTCACGTTGTTTTTGCAGTCAAAAACTCTGATCTGCATTACTCTGAACTTTAAGAAAAAGCCACTCTGCTCTGTTTCCTCCTCGCTATTTGGATAACACAACCTTCAAGCCCAGGCTCAGAGCTAACTCATAAATTAAGGTTCCAGATCGGCCTGCGATGATAAAGATACTTATTGCTTGTTTTCTTACGGGTTCGTATTTGTTATTTTACTGCAGGATATAATTTGAGCAGCAGGTTTATGTTAAGACTCCAAAGACTGAAGGGAGGGAGCTGATAAAAAGCAGCTGCAGGTCCTGGGTCCTACAGCCAGGCTCTTGAGGGCCTTCGTTCGGGGTTTGGGGTCTCATTTGCTGGGTCATGGCTTTCAGCAGTAGATTTGGATTCTAACAAGGTTTGGAAAACATAACTGTTCTAGATTTACCATGCTGCTTTTTGTTCTCCGCGTGTTTAGTCAAGTTTTAACTTCCAGATCTCTTCAAGAATCTACCCTTTAATGGTTCAGATTATTTTTTTTGTTGTTTTGTTTTTTTCTTATTTGACCAGTGGTGTTAATGTTGTGGTTGTAAAACATTGCATAGTTCCGTTTAGTGGATTGCACAATCTTCTCTGTAGCCAAACTTTTATTGTAAATGAAAATAAATTAAAACCAGGGCATGACTGCAGTGGTTTAAAAAAAAAAAAGCAAATTCAAAAACAAAAACAATCAAAATGACAATCAGGGTTGTGCACAAATTGCATGTTTTGTAGTAAAAGACAACTATCATTATGCTGATTCTGCTCCTTTAATGGCCTCCAAATCAGAATTTGTCTGCTGTCTGAGCCAAAGGAAGGAGGTGCTGCTGGGTCCCTGCAGGAGGCCGAGGCTTAGCGTCAGTCTGGTGGAGATTAGAGCAGAAAAGTTTTACCTCTGCAGACTGTTGTGTGTGAGAGAGACAGACCTGTAAACAGCCGTCTGCGGTATCTGTGCAATAACGTTGGCTTTTAGCTGACCTGTAGTTACGCTGCAGGCAGAAGTGCTCAAGAACAAATAATGCAAATACACTAATAGGATTTGTGCTGAGTAGAGCCAGAAATGCAGCAAATCCTTCGTTTTATTCATCCAACCTGCAGCTTTCACTCTGGAATCTGATGTTTTCAGAGATAAATGCCCGTTTCACCTTTGTATGGTCATTTTTATAAACATTCCTGAGGGGTCACCTCTTGTTCTGGTGTGGGTTTTCTCAGGACCATAACATAATTATGAAAATATTATTAGTTTGATCTAAATAAATTAAGAAAATAAACCTTGTTTTTTAAGATAACGAGATGATAATGGTGCAAAAAAGAATGTTTTTTTGTTTTTAAACAGTTTTATTATTCAGTACTGCTGTCATGATACCTGGAGATTATTTAGAACAGTGTTGATCTTTGATAGATGTTTCTTCAGTTTCACATTTTGAAATTTAATCAGTTTCCAGAATGACACATTTGTTTAACTGTGATTTTAAAACAGCTTTATCACAATAAAAGTTACATGAAATAATGTTATATTATCAAAACAAAACAGCTGGCAATGCCTGTTGTCTAAAACCTGTTTTGTTCAAAACAAAACAGGTTTTAGACAACAGGCATTGTCAGCTGTTTAACTTGTTGCATCAGCTTATATCTTATTGTAGGAATTCAATAATACTTAACATTACTTTTCTTATAAGAAATGAAATGAATGAATGAAATTACCTTAAAGCTTTCAGGTGAAGTTTGAAAATTTACGCCACCTTGTGGCAACTCAGCATACTGCGCCTGTTATAAGAGAAAGACCCGGATGTTATTCTTCATTAGGATGAGGAGGGTCTGTTATTATTACCTGCATCTAAGGTCTGTGTGGACTGTCTTACTGACTCTCTACTATAAAATGATATCTCTACTGGCCACAAAAAAAATAAACATTGTTTTCTGAATTTTTTCTTCTGAATTTGCAGATAAAGATAAAAAAATAAAATGAAATGAAATAAAACAGTAAAATTAATGTTTTTGCGACTCTAAATAAGTTTTATTATAAAAGAAAATAGAGGCGACATGGGCGCGCTTATTTTGAAAACCTCGCGAGATTTCCGTACTCTCGCTCGCTTATTGGCTGTCGACGGGGTCACGTAACGCGCGAAACAAAAATCTCCCGGGAAAAAATAGGGGCATTTTTTTTTGCTGTGTCATTCTTCCGAAGCTGTTACCTTCAGAGCTGATGCCCGCCACTGCWGAAATCCACGCCGGAGACATGCAGCAGGAGGCCGCCTGTCAGACGCAGGACAGACCGGCGGAGAGGAAGAGGACCTCCGGCTTTCTGTGCGATGAACGCGGTTACCTGGACCTGGTCGAGCACATCATGGAGAACGGCCGCAGGAAGGGAGACCGAACCGGGACAGGAGTCGTTTCTGTGTTCGGTGCTCAAGTCAGATACAGCCTGCGAGGTATTGTATACTTATTTGTTGTTTACTTATTTAGAAACTATAGTCAGCACATTCATGTTTTTAAGCTATACATCTATCACCCCGTTAGATATTTTTAGTGTTTGATCTTTTAAAAAMTGTTGCTTTATTTTTATTTTTAATGAAATTCTTGTATTCTGACTCTGAGACACTTTTGCAAAAACAGCTGCTTTATGTTGTTTCACCTGCATCMATGTGACACAGTGTTTTTATTTTTACTGACAGACCAGTTTCCCCTGCTGACCACCAAGAGAGTTTTCTGGAAAGGGATCCTTGAAGAACTGCTGTGGTTCATCAAGGTGAAGCTGATGGGAGGGGTGGGGGGGTTGGACAGGTTTGGACGCATTAACCAGTCTCTAATGCAGGGGTGCCCAAACATTTTCCCTGAGGGGGCCAAAATGAAAATCTATCCATGGCTACGGGCCAAATGCAGTTATATAATACATGAAATACAAATACTTTTAAAGTAAAGTCCTTTATTTTTAACGATTAAGCTGTGCAATGGCCCTCTTTTGTTTTAGTCTGTGCACTTGGAGAAAGTCTGCCATACGCTCAAGTAGCAAAGGCTCATGGGACATATCATAAATTGATAAAATATGAGTTTTTGTGGCCTTATAAAGTGTGCAAATCTACATGCGGGGTTAAATCTGATCTAAATATTTCTTGTGGTCGTTTCATGTTTAATCCTAATAAATCAAAGATATGTCAGCACCATGACTGAAAACTACCTTCACTACAGCCCTTTTATATAGTCATTTGACCAATGGAAATACTGTTTCTACCTATAGGATAACAGGTTACAACCTTGTAACTTTGGCAACTGTTGGTGGGCCAAATCAAATGGGGGCCCCACTTTGGGCTCCTCTGCTCTAATGTTTGCTTGCTGCGTGTCGCAGGGATCAACAAACGCCAAGGAGCTGTCAGAGAAAGGTGTGAAGATCTGGGATGCCAACGGGTCCCGAGCCTTCCTGGACAACCTGGGCTTTACAGGCCGAGAGGAGGGGGACCTCGGTCCTGTTTACGGGTTTCAGTGGAGACACTTTGGTGCAGAATACAAAGACATGCACACAGGTGCTGTGGAAGAACTCACGCTTTATGTTTATTGGACAAAGAAATGTGTTGCCTTTGTTTGTAAACACTTCAAACATTAATTAGACAGGTTGGTGTAGGACTACTTCCTGGATCTATAATCTGAATGCATTTAGGCAACATAATTTTGACAAAAAAAATGAATGAATAATTAATTCTTCATTTATTATTTGTAGCTTGTCAGTAGAAATGACAACTCCTTCAGGACATTCTGGCCATGACTTCAGCAATTTATGGTTTAAAAAGACCTTCCTCAAAAGAGACATTTTATTTTCTTTAATAAACAAAATAATATGTCTCTTTTGAGGAAGGTCTTTTTAAACCAGGGTCAAAGACAAGTGGAAATGTTTATTCCCCCTCGGGGTGACCCTTCATGAAATATTTAGCTTTTTCTGCCTTTTTTTCTCATTGAAAATGATCGGAGCTGTCTTTAACATCCCTAAAACACTTTAAATTATTCATGCATTTTTTTTTACCTTTTTGTTCTGATTCAGTGTTATTTTATTTCTTCATTATTGTGTTGATTTCAGCTTCCTTCCTATTTTGCTGATTTTAGCATTTTTAGCTTTCTTTTTGACCTTTTCTGCTATTCTTTTGCAATTAACTTTTTGTGCTTCTTACAGCTTTTTCAGCTCATTGAAACTTTTTTATGCTTTATCTTATCTTTCAGCTGCTTTCTGCTCATTTGAGCTGATTTTTGTTCTTTAGCTATGTTTTAAGCTTATTTGAGCTTTCTTTTTTAGATAATTTCTTTTAAACTTTTAACCATTAAGCATTCTCACTGTAGTTTTGCAGAAAATGCAAATTCTCTAGTAGTTTTCTGTCTTTTTGTTTTGGTATAAACTTTAAGAATCTGTCATTAAAACATTAGGATAGTTATTTTTTTAAGAGTTGGAATTATAACGTTCTTGTTGGCGTAAGCTGCAGATACTGATTTATGCCTGAAGGGGGCAGAGTTGTGCCATTTAGTGAAATCTTAATCTGAAATTCAACCATGAGATGCAGGATAAATGCAGCTATTATTCCTCCATCAGATTACACGGGACAGGGTGTGGACCAGCTGCAGAACATTATCGACACCATCAAGAAAAACCCAGAGGACCGGAGGATCATCATGTGCGCTTGGAACCCAAAAGGTGAGTCACATTGAGCTTTCCCTGCAACAGCCTGTTTGGTTTTTAACGTGCCTGCCTACGCTTTCAGACCTCCCCCTCATGGCTCTGCCCCCCTGCCACGCTCTGTGTCAGTTCTACGTCTGTGACGGCGAGCTGTCCTGTCAGCTGTACCAGCGCTCGGCCGACATGGGTCTGGGGGTGCCTTTCAACATCGCCAGCTACGCTCTTCTCACCTACATGATCGCACACATCGCAGGACTCGAGGTGGGAGTCGAGTCTCTTTCAAGTCTGTTTCGTCCCGTTGATGCTTTCACCATCGCCTCACACTTTTTTGCCTTTTGTCTTCCAATTCGTCAGCCTGGAGACTTCGTTCACACTCTGGGAGACGCGCACGTCTACATCAACCATATCGAACCTCTTAAAGTGCAGGTGGGCTGTTTTTTTTTTTAAAGGTAATTTTTTTTCTGCTTGATTTAATCTCACACAAGCTTGTGTGTAAATGTGCAGCTCCAGAGGGAGATTCGGAGTTTCCCCACACTGAAAATCAGGAGAAAAGTGGAAACCATCGACGACTTCCAGGCAGAGGACTTTGAGATCTGTGACTACAACCCACACCCCACCATCAAGATGCAGATGGCAGTGTGAAGGTCCAAATCATCTGATGATTGTTGCACTGTGTGTAGGTTTAAATGGCAGTTTGCCCCAGTTACAGAAAGGGACCTAATAGAGATGTTGCTGTTTAATGGGTAACGATGTAGCAGAAAATGTTATATTTTTCATGTTATGAGAAAATGGCCTTGTTTTTTTGGCATTTAAATGTGCTTTATAGTGTTTTCTATTAATAAATTATCTAAATCTAAGTAAAAATGTGATGATTGTAATCAAACACTGAACATTAAAAAGACAAATTGTTACTGATTTCATGTAGAAGTGTTTCTGACTCTAATACAAAGGGTTTGATATCACAGTGTCAAACGTTTTCAGTCCTCATTTCTTCCTTTGCTGTTTCCAAATGTCTCCTTCAGGGTACTGATGGTTCTTCACCGACGACTCGAGCATCTCACAAGAATAACCTGGATCCTAAAATCAGGAGGCATCACGCACAAACATTTATTTCAAACTTACTGTTAGCAATGCAGACTTTATTTATTTTAGATTTACCTTCGGAGGCATGTAGCAGGCGTTCTGTATCAGCGCAGGACTAACGAAATGTTCATGGAGGTGGTCCACATACTCACACATTCTGTGAAACATCAGAAGGTTGTATTAGGTAAATAAATACGGTGATTGTTGTTTTTTTAAAAACAACAACCCTTCCTTTTACCGGTCGTTGAGATCCGCTGACACACAGATGTAGTCGAACAGAATAAGATGCTGGACGAGCTCACACAGACCGACTCCTCCGGCATGAGGACACACAGGAACTGAAGCAAACCAAAGAGTTTTAAATATTCTCACCTTACTAAAACAATGGCTTAATTCACTTTTTTAAAAGATTTTTTTATTTATTTTTTCAGGAAACAAATGTGCCATATGACAGACATGTTTTGAGATCTCTGACAAACGGGGTAAAAAAAAAAAAGACTCAAGTCACTATTTCAGGAAAGCACTGATATGCGTCTTGAAAGCATTAAAACAGAACAGCAATGGATCATTTCAAGGTTAGCGGGCGGAGCTCTCTTTTTTCGAGATAAATGCTGAAGTTGTCTGGAAATTCCCTGCTGCGGGACAATAAAGACTATTTCTATTCTATTCTAAATGGCAACACAATTGGACAAACTCAATCAGTAAATTTAGTTATACAGACCATTTGCTCTAAACTGATTTGTGTTAAACTTTCATTAGGATTGTAGATGAGATTTTTCATAAATATAAATCTGCTTTCTGAGCTTGTTGAATTTTGACATTTCCAGTGGTGTTTTTATAGCAACCTCAGGCTTTTCTCAGTCGACCTGTGACCTGGAAGAGTTAGGCTCCACTAATACTCCTAACTACAAACTGGTCTATTAGTAGCACTTTTTTTATCATACAGGGAAAATTCAGACACTTTTTCCAACACTAGATTAAATAGATTTTTTTGTATTCAACACTTTTTTTTTCAGTTTATAAAGATTATCGCAATTTCCTTTTGTGATTTTTTCCCTTTTGTTCATCAAGCAAGTTGATAATATCCATGTGTAGTTACGTCAAAGAGTAAAAATACCTTTGAACTTGTGGGCCATGAGCAGCACAGCCAGGTTCTCGTTGACGCTGCCCAGCCTGCAGCTGTCTATCTGAACAAACTGAAGCGCTGAAGCCTGGAGGAGCTGCTTGAACATCACCCTGTTGTGGCACTGCAGAAGAACATGGTGTGAATAAAACCAACCGATAATATCAGCTGACCAGATCCAGTCTGCCTGTGGCACTTATTAGAACAAGCTGGAGGTCCAACCTGCTCCCCTGTAGCCACTCCGATCCCGAGTGGAGCCAAAGCCTGCAAAAAATAATAAATAAATAAAACAAACACATCAGATTCTTTAACCATAACAACATAAATTTTTGTTAGAAAGCAGATTTGAAGGATAATGACATTGCCAATATGCTAATTTCTAATTTGGCAAGACTTCCCAGCTAATTTGGACCAATAAACATAAAGCCAGTAGTTATTTCAAGCACCGAATATACCAATAWTTTTATGATTCTTATTCAAAAAGCCTGAAAAGATATCGTTATTCGTTTGCTTCATGCTCGTGTTTAGTGGAAAAATGAGAATTGGAAATTGGTTCATTTTCCAATTTTTTACTTTGTTTCAAAAACGAAAAAACAAGTCATTTTTTGGTATTTTCAGTTTTTGTTTCAAACAAAAAAACAAATGAACGAATGATACACGGATTCACATAATTACAGACACAAATAATAAACTTTATAGAAGGAAAACATAAAAAAAAC